CGTATTCGGAACGCGCGCGCGAATCCGCGCGGACGAGGCGCATGCGAAATGACGGAAGTACCAAAAGGCACTGAAAGTAACGGCTGCGCGGCACGATAACTATTAAAGTTACTGCCGGATTTTGCTCAGATTGGGCCGCCGACTAGTTCGCCGGCTGCTCAATTTCGCCGGTGGTTCCTCACTCGTTCACCCTTGCTCCTCCTTAATTTACGATGCGAAAGTTATCGGGGCAAATTCCGAGGGGCTTCCGTCCGTCTTTCGTGAAATTCTTATCGATACAACCGTCCGAATGGAAAGCGAATGGATCTTGACATGGATTGGATCTTGAAATAGATTTCGCATCCGCATTCACTTGATAAGTGCACTCTATAAGCGACGAGACGTGCAGCGCGACGTGTCTCGCGACACGGGAAAGAAGGAAAAAAATGGGAGGACGAGAGCGCACCTATGAAAACCTATGTATCTTGTGTATGCAGACGTCACGTACGCGGTGCGTGTTCACAAGTGTGTAGCGAAAAGTGTTCGTGCCGAACACGTGTTCTCCGCGTTAATGCGTTACTCGCGCCCCGCAAGTAAAAAGGCATTTTTCTTGAACCGACCGTAACGCGACGCAGCTCCGCTCCGTGCAATGGACTTTTAAAGGGTCGGCGACGTGCTCGCGCAAACCGGCCGATCAATTCACTCGAACATCCTTTCACCTTTTTCTACGAGTGTCGTCGTGATAAAAAAAAACAGCCACTCTGCACACACGCACACACACACATTTTCTTCTAGCGTTAATTTCTTATCCATTATATGCTTGCATCCTGCATAAATGTGCTGAATAAAATTATTGTGCATATTCTATCAAGATATTTTTATCCCTCGGCTTTTAATCCTTCTATTTTATTGAACACGTATTTCAATCTAAGTAAATCTTTGTTGCCGTCTCATATATTAAAATATATGTATATGGTATTCCAAAGTTAATATCTGCGAATATTTAACGCGGAAAGGACACAATGTAATTTTCGACCCATGTAGGTCTCTTACATTCTTGCATCTCGATGCATTTTGTGGGAGCGCAAATATATAATACGTGACTGCGAAGTCGAAAAGGAGGAACAGAGAGGGAGGTAAAGATAATAACGTACACGACGAAGAATGGCACTACTCGCGCAGTCGTCCGTCGCAATATGAATTACATCGGCGATTGAAACTCGTTCGTGGTTAAAAAAAAAGCAAGTGCAGACCTCGGGCTGTCGGAGGTGCCGAGATTTGCATATTAAATGGGTTGGGATTTATAACGGTCGGTCTCGAGCGGTGCTAAGCAATATATACGATAAATAAAGAACGCTCTTTGCGGTGAATCGATAGCGCGTGAAGTTTTTCGCGCGAGCGAACGTGAATTCCGTGCATATTGGGACTACGAAAGAAGAGTGGCGAAAAGGTTAACGAAAAAATACAAGTCTTATAGATAGGTGGTACAATTCCATCGTCTAATCTGCTCGATTGATTTTGTTCCTTCATTTTGCACTCCACTCGACATCCAATATTTCATCGTGACGAACTCGAAAGTGTAACAAAAGTATATTAAGGGGTTCGAGAGTCTTTCGAGAAGGGTGATTTAGAATTTGCCGAATTCTTGAGATGGAATTTAAGGGTCCAGGAAAAACCGGTTTTAGGCTACTGTGTCATTATTAGTACGACTACTGGTTAGAAATGCGGAACCTTAGATACGTCGGCAAACTCGAAACTTGAAAAAAAGATACATTTGGTTTCAAAAGAATCTTGAATAATATCTATTACCGCACCAGATTTAAAGGTGCGACACTAAGAGACAAGTTTCCCCGAAAAGAAGCTACCGTGCGTGGTGTCATACACACTGAGAGAAATACTTTTGTAAGAATTACAAATTTTCATTTGTTGACTTATGATTTGTTCAGGATACGATAAATTCGCTACCATTACAAACAATGATCCGTTTTTTTGTCATTTTAACATATCACATATCGTCTGTGCAACAAATTTCATTTGCTCATCCCTCTTTGTTCTGATTACAAAATTGTTTGACATAGGTACTGACACAGTTAGTAAATTCAACAAATATGTCGATAATAGTTCTTATTGTTAATGCTTTTTGCACCACCAACAAATTAAAATATTCGAATTTGTTGCTGCAGCAAATGAAATGCGCGGACGAAAGTGCGCAGCGATAGCACATGTTTCGGCTTGTCGTAACGGCAAACTTCTAATGTGCGCTCTCATGTGTTGCCCTACTAATTAAAACGCGACCTAAATTAGTCTCGTAAAGTTAAGCGACTTTCACACAAAGTTGCGAGCTGTGCTATTTTGTTAAGTAGTGGAGCGTATTATCGGCAAAAGCTATAATTATATATTTGCAGACGTTATCACAGTTATTATCTGTATAACAGGTAATCCGTATAACAATTTACGGGAAAAATTTACGACAAAGATAAAATACCGCACTTGCTTGGAAAGTGCTGTGATGTATCGATTTATTTATGGACTTTTCGTCTAAACTAGAAGATGACACTTTGTAGTGTCCGGATTGAAGTGAAGGAACCCATTTGTCTCTGTTGTGCCGTCAAATGTGTTCTTCATTTAAAATAAGCATCCCGCTTTATGCGACTCGTCGGCCGGAACGCCGCACTCGCGCTTTGAAACATGAATTACTAGAGCATGAATTTCCACGCGATTATCATTTAATCGTTCGCGAATAATTCGATTTGATTGATGAAATTCTGCGATGCACCTCGGTACGGGCGCGCGGCGCCGTCGTGCGTGCAACGAAATACGAACTTGCCGCCGTCGAGGGCGATAATCGACTAACCGCGATAATTTGTCCGAGCGTTTGTATATCTAAAAAGCCGAGCGCGCGCGCAGCCGGAGAGAGCGATGATAGCAAACACAAATTGGTGGTGGCTGGACTAATATACCCGAATATGATGAATGGTCTTTTATATCTACGGACGTAGTAAGGTGTTATGCGTTACGTTAGTGTTGAATTATTGCGTGCGTGGGGCAGCCGCGCGTCGGCACAATAACGCAGCCCGCGGGAGGGCCCGGATCCGGGGGTTCGACCGGGTCCCCGCTGCCCACGTTTGCGTCCGAGCTTTTACCCGCGAGACATCGAGAGATACGCGCTCGCTCGATACTTTCGTTTC